GCAGAAATGTCTTACAGGCCGAAGTTGAAAGGTCACAGGTCAAAGTAGGAAGTGGGTATAACTTCAAAAAACGGCTCTTCATATCAGCCTTATAGTGTCCGTTGTGGTAGAAACTTCAGATGAGTTTATGTGTTATTGCAATAGTGGCGGCCATTTTGTTTCATCGCATTTCTCCATGGAGAGTGCTAGTGCACCCTTTGAGATATATAAGTGTATGTTGTGTTATAGAAAAGTTAATATAATTTTTTTTTTGTATAAGGACGTAACGCCATCTATGAATGCAGTTAACGTGAACTTACGTCAAAGATAATAAATACTCAATAATAACAGTAATGGGGTAGAGAGGATAGTGAACCCCTATTAACATGCTCCTTGTTCCAAACTATCATCCCACAAGTTTGGTTGATATTGGCACAGTTACCTAGGAGTAATTAGACAGTGGACAAACAGACAGACACAACTACAAGGTCAATTGCCACAGAAGTATCTTATGGACCGCAGTTGAAAGTAAAAACTGTAAAGTTGATAAGATTAAAATATCAGATTTAATGTTTTACTTATAAAGCAAAACTGTAATTGTGATGATAACTTTTTGGCATTGATAATTTTAAACACAACATTATGAAAATTACGTTAAATGGTTAATTTTAAGGTTTTGATTGTTACTATAAAGTTTATGCCATATATATCTACGTCACCATCTAGTGATTCTATTGTGAAGTATCTGCGCGATCATCATACAACCCACCCTCTGGTGCCACTTCGTGGAACTATAACATCATCCCCTCCCTAAGACATCCGCGTCCTCTGGTTCCTATTACGTAACAGTTGTGTAACCCTGAGGTGCCATTCTTTGATCTCTATTTTGGATGCCCAAGTACTGCAATAACTACTGTTGAAGTTTTTATTAGATAAAGTTTGTTATAACAAAACTAAATAAGTAAATGAAATAAACTGATACCACAAATAGGCCTATTGTAGTGTCAACAACCTGTCAACAAAAAGTTGATAGTATATTTGAAATAAAATATTCATAGTGGTCTATTCTGTATCTGATTAAAAACATAACATCTTTGTGAAATCAATGAGAATATGCGTGAAATATACCAAGCAGCTATAATACCACTGCTATTTTTAAGATCATTCATGTCTATAATTAAGCCAAAGCAATGATACGAGTTGCTGTGTCTGTCTATACTGATAGACTATAAATTTCTTCTTCATTGGCAATATGGCATTTTTGTAGAAATAACTAGTTAATGAAAAATTCAACAATTACAATAGTCAAGCAAGCAGGTTGTCCATGAAATAAAGCACTTATTAAAAAATAGAAAAAGTATAAGTTGCTTTAGTGAATTATTGATTCAATTATATGCAGTTTACCGAAAAGAGGACATCACTACAAAGACTATTTTCTTCCGATTCAAGCACACATGACTATGTTTCTCCAGATCCAGTTACATCAAGAACAACATCTGTACAGAACAATGATAAAAATCATATACTTATAGATTCTAGCTACCTATATGACTGATAGTCCTGCAACAATAAAAAGAAAAATAGACAAAACAGTTGATCATTTTAACACAGTTAGGAAAGAATTACACTTTTCACAACAGAAGAACAGATATTTGAAAAGAAGTATTGTTTCATAAATAGAATCCAACACTTTTACGTTTTTTTTTTGGCCTTTACACTGAAGTCTTACTCCACCAAAGCCTACAAATTTGTAAGACATACTTTCAATTTTGCTCTATTTCATTATGTTATTCGAAAACTTTACACAAGAAATATTAAACGCAATAGAACAAGTGGCAAAAAAGGAAGAGAAAGAATCAGTAAAATTATTTGTTCATGAATTCTAGATGAAATGGCCAAATGAAAACGTGTAAGATGGAAATTTTTGTCTAATTTGATGTTTGGTATAGATTTAAAACCCTATATAGTGTTGCAGATGGCATAGAACTTTGCAAAAAAAAAAGGCCTGAACTTAACTAACTCTAAACAAGTGAGCTCACAGTCAAATTTATAACAATATTTGATAGACTTTGTGATTTGATCAAATCCAGAAACCCATTAGCTATAATTACAATAGTCTAATGAGTCATTTGAAAATCTTTTCTAATAGAATCAGAAAATTATATTTTTCAGTTAACAGATATCACCATGGAAAGAATGTATGGAACTCAATGTAAAACACCATTTACTGGGTTTCTAGCTGCAATCAAATCAAAGTGTGCAGCAATTATAAGAAACTTTAATGTCACAATTGATATGTGCTACATGTTACAGCTCATGTGAAAAATTTTAAAATTATTTGTTTGTTTGTAGTTAAGCGCAAAACTACACAAAGGGCTGTCTGTGCTTTGCCCACTACGGATATCGAAACCGTTGTAAGTCTGTAGACATTAAATGGTAGTCCATTATTCGTTTGCAGAAATTGCAAAAACCTAAATCCTTACACCTAGAAAATATAGTATATTTTGTCATATGAATTATCCCAGAATCATTTGTTGTTTTTTTTGTTTTTTTTTTGCTGTTGGCCATCTTGGAGCTGTAATAAGGATTCCACTGCTTGTCAGTTCATAACTGCATATAAAATATCGCTCAAGCGCCATGAAATAAAAGCAACAGAAAACTACACTGCTCAGAATAAATCATTAATTTGTATATTTCATAAGACATCACATGGCACTTCTTATTACCTTCGCAACTGAGCCAGACATGTCTGTGATGCTCAGATATCATTTTGAAATACGTGAGCCTATACAAGATGACCATGTTAACGATGAGGCGCGAGCTTGCACGCCACTTTCTTCTTATAAGGAAGCAGCCATAGGATATATGACTGGTTATATAATAAAAATGGCACAAAAAATAATGCATTGTACAGTTGTTTGGAGTGAAGACCCTGACAAATTAAAATTCTAGAATCTTGTCAATTTTACAACAAAGACAAGTATAGGTAGTTTAATAAAGGCATCAACAAGTGTTATCCAAAGTTTGTCAAGAAACAAGTTATTTTGAAAGACTTCTTAAGTCAACAAATGATGAACTTCCTCAAGCAACTACAATTAGCCTTAGAATACAGATTGATGTTTTGAACGTAGTTTTGAATGGAGTTTGTTTTCCCTGATTTATATGAGCACATGTTTGATGGTACACCAGAAGACAGCCAGTCTTTAATTTAATAAAGTGTTTAATTATGTATTATATAGAAATATAGATGTGTCACCTTGTAAAAGAACAATCTGCAAAAGATGCAGGTAAAGACTGAGAAAATAGCTTTCTATGTTACATAACTTTATTTAAACATCAGTAGTTTCAAACTGTATGGAGTATAAAATGTTTGTACAACATCTAAAGTGTAGAGAGTGCTGCTTTACAAACATTCAAATGTACGTATAACATTTATCAGCTAACTAACTTAGAAATTGTGACATTAAGCGTAAAATAAATGCATATAAATATTGTAGTATAACTTAACCTAGTTCAGTACATGTACTTTATTGGCCTACTTATATACTATAATATAGAAATTATAAACTTATGTTAAATAAGGTTAGGTTAGGCTTTGCAATAAAAATTTAAAAAAAAGAAATCCTACTCCATGTATACTTGCAAGCAGATCTTGTAATACACCATTCATTACTGTACCTTGAGCTACGTGTTTACTGTGTGAATTACAACTTGTATCTCAGGATGATTAGTTAGAAATGGTGAATAGTTTTGTGCTATTTCAGTATTAATACTTGCACTGTGTTTATACTGTACTTTATACTTTACTACAGACTTGTATGAGCTTCTACTGAAATTTGTTACTCTATTATTAATAATATATTAAATCACAATAAAATCAATTTATGCCGACACAATATTGTCAGTTATAGCTCTTTTTATTTTTTCAACTCCAGTTGTATAAACAAGCATTTTTGTAATTTCTATAGCCCTTTTCATTTCATAATAAAAAAGTAATATAGAAATATATTAAAATTTATGTAGTGAAGAGACATGAGATAACATAAAACTAAGATCCCCAAAACTCAAAGAACGAAATTATTACAAATAATTCAATTATCACTTGGATATCCTTGCTATTAAAGTTGTTACACTCGTCAATTTAGGGACGTTAATTGTAAATACAGTGAATGACTGTTCAATATACAGAACTGTTCATTTTAAGAGTTATTATTTAGTATATTTAGTAATTTAATATCTAATGATTATTTTATTTACATAACAAGAGTGTTAAAATTTAATTATTTTAAAAGCGATGTATAAGACAAGTTTTGTTAGGTAACTCTGTACGAGTCGTGCGTTGTTTATATAGTTTAATTGTTGTACTAGGCTTTTGTAATATTGTTGAGTCATCTTACTGGAAGCTTTTGCGTTTTTCTCGTTATGTTTGATATTATTGTTACTAGAGGGCTAGATATATCTAAACTTTTCTGTTGCGTGTTAAAATTTCGTGCAGACACAGAGAGCAGGTTAAGCAAAGTTAGTGAAAGTGAAAGTAAATGTGAAGTTATATTGCATGACTGTCAGTTTAACTGTAACGGGCAATTTCTAAAATGAGTTTCACAGCTTGTATTGCGATAGCAGAGATAGAGTAGAACAATTTGTCTTGTCAAAGGGTGTTCTAAAGTAACTGAACCCACCTGTGTGGACTTTGGCGAAAAGGGGACAATTATTTAAAGCTCTGGATACAACTGTGGTAACCAACAGTTATAGCGGTGATTTTAAAGTTAGTGTCACAGCCTTGTATTGTAACAACAGAAAGAGGTGAATACTTTGTCTTATCAAAGGGTGTTCAAAAGTAATTGAACCCGCCTGGGTGGACTTTGACGAAAGAGAGACAATTATTTAAAGCTCTATATACAACTGTGATAACCAATAGTGAAACGAATTTTCTGTACATACGTTTGACTTGTTTTGAATATTTTGTTTTAAAACAAGCGGATTGTATGCTGTCCGTTTATTGTTGAAATTAGTCGCCAACAAGTCACAGACACCTACTGTAAAGAATCCGCGGCCCTATATAAAACCTGACAATGACACTTGCCATTGCGCAATCCAGTTCAGTATAAAGATCAGTGGACCAACCACTTCAGCGAAACTACTAACTAAGATATAACATTCATTGTTTTAGGGCTAGAAAAGGAAGCACAAACTTTTACAGGTCGAGTAAAGTTTCGATAACATTGTTGTTAAGATTTCGCCAGAGTAGACAAGCAGTTCACCTTGTCACCCCATTTAGTCATTGTGAGTACTCACAAATTTCATTTTAATTTATTATTTGAAATATATAGTTATTAAATTAAAAAAATTTCGTTTCTTAATCATAGCTCAGGTTGTATTACCTTCAAACTTAATAAGATAATCAATTAACTGTTCTCCGACCCTATATATATATATATATATATTTGTCTTTATAACTAAAACTCATTCGAGAAATATCTAGTTTCTAACTTAAGTTACTAAGATCAACGGAACTTTAAAAAATATTAAACTTAACTGTAGTAACTTTACCATCAATAACAAATGTATACAAAATAAATTGGTCTTTGTGGAGGAAATTATATATGCAGTTAAAACCGGTCTTATAAAATCCACTCAAAGTTTTAGAATCTGTTCTCAGTCTTAATATTAATCGCTTTGCAGCGGTAGTAATGGAATAGGCAAGAAGGATTAATAACGAAAATATCTCGAGATAATAAGGATCTTTTTTGTAAGAGTTTAACGCTTTGTTATAAACAGGGTATACCTAAGATCCTCTCAAATCCATAGAGTGTATCCTGTTTGTCACGAGAGTTCTTCAGTTATCTAGTTGAGAGTGTGGTCTTTAAAATGTTTGAAATCACTGAAGTTCAACTTGTTCATTCGGTGAGATGCAAATTAAATCATACAGAAACCAAAATATCCAACAAAGCTTTCTAGTGAGAAATAGTGACTTTCACATAGAAAGACTTATTTCTTTCAATGAGCTAGTTTTATTTACAAACTGTCCAACAACAACAAAAAAAAATCCTAAGTCTGTTTAACTCATGTGATATACAACAAATGTACAGTTTAGTTTTGTTTGTTAGCTATTTTTCTTTCTCTTCAATTAATAGTTACCATACTAATTAAATATTTATTTTCCCCAAAATACTCTCAAAAGGTCGCGGTTTATCATCGATTGGTTAATTCAAAAACGATCGGAATCGTTATCGAAACAACCAAAATTGCTTTTACCGAAATATTCAATAAATTTTAAATAACAACATTGTTTTATACTACTTATATTTGGATACAATACTAAGAGAATCTACTGCATTCCCATGATATATTTTTTTAAATGTCATCATAGTTATTATTAATGTGTCTTAAGATGCAACAATTATATTCGTCTCGTTTTTTTTTCTTATTTTAGTGGCTTCTCTCAAATAAGGTTTTTGTCGTTTATGAAGACCATCCTAGTCTTTCACGTTGAGTCTTCCATTGACTTAACTCGAGGTTTCCAACGCTAAAATTTGGGATTCGATTCCTGCATGCGGTGGGCACGGCTAAGATAGCCCAGTGTGCACTTTTATATTGAAATGGTGTCGCTTTGATACTTATCCATCGAACAACTTTTTTAATCGCCTTAGCTAGGCTGATTATTGCTAATAGACTTTGAAATTATAGTTCTTAGCTGGTCGTGGTATGTAATTTATTATTAAAATGAAGCATTTGTGCTCCGTATTAAAATAGTATCAGTTAGTATTAGCAGCTTTCAAATATAAAATTTGTTTGTTTGTTTGTTTATTTATTTAAAAAAAATACTTCTAATCATAGTATGTATATCTTGAACTAAGCAAGCACAGATCCTTGAACACATACAACACGGATGAAAGTGTTATATCCGATACATTATTCAAAGTTTTAGATTTATAAAGATAAAATTACTACATAAATACATCTAAAAGTAGGCCTGCATTTAGACGTAGATGGCGCCTTTGCACTTTCTTTTTATAGTCTGAGTGCGACCTAAATCTGTTTGTTGTTGTTTTTGCCTCTTTCCCCAAATCTTATCGGAAACTGTTAATTTATAAAAAAATATGAAGAGCTTAGGATGTTATTTTAAGTAGCAATAAACAAGGTGACTGCCGTATAAAGACTATAGTAAACATCATAATTTTATATTCATAAATTTTTGGCTAAAGTGATACTTTTGTTTATAATATTACGTTTCGTGGATAAAATACTTTCATTTCTGAAAAGCAATAATAATAATAATTAAGATGGGAATATGGAGCAGCCAAAATACATGTTTTTAATTCATACTGTAACAAATGAGACGGAGTGGACATTTGCAGTTCAGTCACATTTTAAATAGAACTTCGGCCTTATATCTAATAGTTTGCTTGAACTGTTTTACTCTCACAATATAGTTTTCATACACAAAGTTGTCAAATCAGATCTTATAATACAAGCTAATAATCAAAATATATATATAACTGCATGTAATATCTTCTTACGATAAACCTTATTTATAACAATACTAAGGACAATTTATTAAGACTGAAACTACAAACGAGTTATTCACTTGTAATTCACATGTCTTTTATATTGCCCAATAATATAACGTAATAACTGCTGAATTACCAATAATAATAGTATAATATTTTACAACTTTGTCAAAAACACATATACGAACATGGTTAAAATACTTAATTACGTTTCCATAAAAGACTTCCGAATGATTTTTTTATTGATTTTTATATTTTGAGCCTCAAATGACAACAGAAAATGGCCACATTTCCTGAGACAACTGTGGCATTTCCCTGAGCTATCGCTCATGTAAACATACAAACAAATGTTTTTTCTATCTTGTCACTCATTACTGTTTGTTAATATGTACGACAAAAATTTCAAAACTTTTTTTTGAATTTCGCCAAATTTGGAAAAAAGTTTGAATGTATAAAATTATTGATGAGAAGTTATGTCTAGAAAAGATTATTCTGTCACGTATGTGACGAGCTACTCTTATAAAAGATTAATTGGGTCACGTATGTGACGAGTTACTCTTGTAAAAGGTTAATTGTGTCACGTATGTGACGATTTACTCTTGTAACAGATTAATTGGGTCACGTATGCGACGAGCTACTCTTGTAAAAGGTTAATTGGGTCACGTATGCGACGAGCTACTCTTGTAATAGATTAATTGGGTCACGTATGCGACGAGCTACTCTTGTAAAAGGTTAATTGTGTCACGTATGTGACGAGTTACTCTTGTAAAAGGTTAATTGTGTCACGTATGTGACGATTTACTCTTGTAATAGATTAATTGGGTCACGTATGTGACGAGCTACTCTTGTAAAAGAGACATAAGACGTAAGAAAAATGATCACAAAATTATCGTTTTATTATGATAGTTCTGTCGCGTTCATTGCCAGAAATTTCCAATTTTAAGTCTGAAATGAAAAACAAGTATAATGGCGTGTTTTTAAGCTAAAAAAGACAACGCTGCTTTTGCTTTATGTTTGTTTAACGTCGCGATAAAGATAACTTCCTATGCGATTAAGTACAGATTTTACACATGGCACTTATCTGACAGTATGTCCTTAGTTTCGTAATACTCCAATTTTGTAGTCTTTACATTATATAATTAAAGTTTTCTTTACAATAATGTTAATCTTTTGAACGAATGCCGCCTTGCGTGATGAATATGCCAGGTCAGTGGATTAGAACCTACGATTTTTGTTTGTTTATGGAATAAGCCCTTCTTACGAAAAAGAACACAAAAACACAATGAAAGATACAAATATCACAGATATAAATACATAATCGTTTAATTTAATTCTCCAACATGGTTACTTCAATGTTGTTTAGAACAAAATAATTTTGAAAAATTGGATAGACGCTCACGACATCAGTCTCTCTCGTATGAAACATTGTGAAAAACGGCATAATGAAAGTTAGATAAACTAGTATTGCGGGATTACGCAGGACCGCCGAGAGACATCATGGGTTCCGGAGATTAAGTCATATGTGCTCCAACATATAATATTTGGAATGATGCCGCTTACATGCATAAGTGATTGAAGGTGCGGTCAGAATTACGTACTGATTTGATATATTCCGTACACGTTTTTCTGCTCTCATGGATGTCCTGGTGGGAATTATCCCTGGCCTCCCCGCCCTCTCGACGAGTTGATTACGTAGCTGAGAACCGCCTACAAATATGCAAGAAGACTTAAAACCAACATTCGAATTGTAACAAGCTAACAAAAGGGACTCCTAAAATGTACTCACAGATTCATGCTCTCACAATCAGGCATTTAATTGTCAGAGTTTCATTTTTTTTCTTTCTGTTACCAAGGGAACGGCGTTATCTTCCGTTTCCTTTCAATTTGAGCGCTGCTTATAACGGGCAAAAAAGCAAAGTGAAACAACATAAAAATACACTTTTGTATAGCTTAGTTTGTAGTGATTACCTGAAAACATTATGAATCTATATCGCTATAGAAACGGAAGCAGTGCTTTCATCCTGTGTATTTTTTTTTTTGTATGACGTCAACCGTGCAACAAAGGTTACCGCTTGGTATCAATTTATGTTTAGGACTAAGATAAAAAATGTTTTGTATTGGTACTTGACCTTATATCTACTACCTTAAAGATCTAATTGAGTGCTTTTCTACCGAACAAAGAAAGGAAGAATATTATAACCTCACTGACAAGTTGAGTCGTACCATAAATATTTTCAAAGTAAATTATTTCATTAAACTTCACTTAAAAACATTCTATGAAAGAAATTCTAAAGCAATGGTAAAAGTAACTATCCCTATTAAGGTCAGAATTGCAGCATACTTAGAGTACTTGTAGGTTATATATTCAACAAGTGTACGGAATACTATGTGTATTTATAGTATTTTGTATCTAGCAATACGTTATTCTTCTCAATGAATGATATACTTCATGGACTTTTTGTGAGAATTATGAAAACTAACATGAAACAAGTCACCAACAAAATCGAATATATCAGGAATGTTTAATCTGTCCTGACATTTCAACCGCAGTAGATAGAACTTTAAGTGTTCCAGTTTCTGCAGAAAGATGCACAACCAGATTCAGAAGTAACCCTGGGTATTGTTTTAATTTATCCGTAATATCAGACTTAGATTAAGTTTCGAGGCACCCCCAGTGGCTTAGCGGCAACTCTCCAGGCTTACGACGCAATAAATCGGCTTTGATACTTGTGGTATCCCATTGTGTAATTTTGTGTTTAACAACAGCCAAGC